CCCTTGTATACTCTGAGAAACCTTATTATCTAAAACATTTTTTTTGATTAAAGTAGATTAAACATACTAGATCAAATAAGTAAATTCTCTATCATTTTTACTATTTGTATTAATAGTCCCTTAGATTAGGACTTGTGTTTAGTAACTACTTTAGGGCACCAAATATAAAGTTACTCAAATTATAGTTCTTTATAATGATATTACAAAGTGGATTTTAAATAAAGTAATTAGATCTTTCTGTTTCTTTTTTTTTTTTTTTGAGACAGAATCTTACTCTATTGCCTGGGCTAGAGGCTCAAGTGTTAGCCTAGCTCACAGCAGCCTCAAACTTCTGGGCTCAAGGGATCCTCCTGCCCCAGCCTCCCAAGTAGCTGGGACTACAGGCCTATACCACCATGCCCAGCTAATTTTTTTTCCTATTTTTAATTGCCTGGCTAATATTTTTCTATTTTTAGTAGAGACCAGGTCTCCCTCTTGCTGAGGCTGGTCTGAAACTCCTGACCTCAAGCAATCCTCCTGCCTCAGCCTCCCAGAGTGCTAGGATTATAGGTGTGAGCCACCATGCCCCAACAATTTGATCTTGAATATTACTATTGAGAATAATCGCTTACCTTGAAATTTTCTGTTATCAGAGTAAACAACTTGGTTGAATTCCCACAACACAAGCAGTATTTGACATTATTATTTCCAAGGTGATAAAATTTTGAGTTTAGTGATCACCTAAAATCATTTAAATAAACAATTTCTTAAATATAAGCTTAGGATGGTCTCTAAGAAAAAGGTTTAATATTTTCTGATAAGTATTTAAAATTAATTAATAGATACACAAAATTACAACTGTCTAATTATATATCTCATTAAAATATATTTCTAATGGTTATATATTAAACATATTCCTATATAACCATAAATATAAAATATACCAATAATATAGGATATATTTTACTCAAAATAGTTTGTAACAGTGTTAAGCTCAAAAATTAATTTGAATATATCAAATATGTATTTCCAAATAAAATTTTTTTAAATAAATTCTTTACCAGTATTTTTCCATTTCCATTAAAATATAAACCATCCAACAGGTACTATGATGATAAAATCATTATGGCCACACTGTTATACTTTAGAAGTTGAAAGTACAGAAACAGATGAAAAACAATGACCTTATGCTTTTCATATAATATAGTGCATTCTTAGAACTATGATAAACACAGAAATTTTTTCAATTTGTCTAACATTTCTGTTTTTAAAAATGTATTCCTATTCTTTGAAAATTGTATAAAATGAAATATCTACAGATGAAGTTAGTATGGCATACTAATATCATTAAGGTAGTTAGTTATAAAAAATTTAATTATTAGTTAGGAAAAGTAAACCTATATAATAGGAACCATAGGCAAACTAAGGAAGAGAAAAGAATAACAAACACAGCCAGGCATGGTGGCTCACGCCTGTAATCCTAGCACTTTGGAGGCTGAGGCAGGTGATTGCTTGAGGTCAGGAGTTCGAAACAGCCTGAGCAAGAACGAGACCCGTCTCTACTATAAAAGAAATAAATTAATGGCCAACTAATATAATAGAAAAAATTAGCCGGGCATGGTGGCGCATGCCTGTAGTCCCAGTTACTTGGAGCTGAGCAGAAGATTGCTTGAGCCATGAGTTTGAGATTGCTGTGAGCTTGGCTGACGCACGGCACTCACTCTAGCCTGGACAATAAAGTGAGATTCTCTCTCTCAAAAAAAAAAAAGAATAACAAAACACTAAACATAGTAGATCATATTTTTAAAATAATAATTGGAAAAATTTTTTTTAATAAATAACAATGGGTCAAAAAACTTCCAAATATAGAGATTAGAGTAAACTATCTCTACCTGAGGGTCCCAATTTATGAGGAGTTGTATAATTATTCATTATATATCACAATGTAATAATAATAGAAATAAAGTACATAAATAAATGTAATGCAAGAATCATCTGAAAACCATCCTGCCATTCTCTGGTTGCTCCGTGAAAAACTGTCTTCCATAAAACTGTCCTAGGTGCCATAAAGGTGGGACGCACTGTTAAATGCTCAACCGGA